ACGTCACGGGGTATAATTTATTACCGTTGGGATAGGGGGAGAGTGCGTAGCCGCGGCGGACGGCTTCACGGCGACATGCGCGGTCGACGTGGTGGGCGAGTTCGCGGGCGGAGTCGGCGTTGTGTGCGCCATCTACGAGTATCTTTCTCGCGGGGTTGGGGAAGATGGTGGGCACGGTGGTGCGTTGGAGACGGCCTGGGTTCTGGGTGGACGAGAAAGCGGGGAGGGCGCGGATGAGGGAGGAAGGGAGGTTGTCGGTTTGAAGCATGGTTTCTTTGACGGCGAAGTAGGCGAGCAGGATGTTGTCGAGTTGGAAGGACTCGTATTTCGCGGCAAACGTGTTCCAGGCGCGTTGGTCTTCGGGGGTTGAGAGTTCGGTGCGGTGAGCCGGGAAGGGGAGTTCAGGCCCAGCGGAAATGGAGCGCGCGTAGTCGGAGATTACTTTTTTGACAGCGGGTTCGTTGTTCGGGTACACGATGTAGGGCACGCCTGGCCGCAGAATGCCGGCTTTGTGGGCGGCGATGTCTTCGATGAAGGAGCCTAGGAAGGCGGTGTGGTCGAAGGCGATTTTTGTGATTACGCTAACGCATTGGTTTTGGAGGATGTTTGTGGCGTCGAGTTTGCCGCCGAGCCCGACTTCGACGACGCCGATGTCGATTTCGTGGTCGTTGAAGAGTTGGAAGGCGCACGCGGTTAGGATCTCGAATTCAGACGCGTTGATGTTTTCGCGTGTGTTGAGGGATTTGAAGTGGGATTCTACTTTGAGGAATTTTGTGCGTTCGACGGGCGTGTTGTTGATGTGGATGCAGTCCCATCTGGGAGTGTGAGTGAATGTACATGTCACGTGATGATGGGTGTGAGTACCGGTCGATGAGATGGGGAGAGGTGAAGCGGCCGCAGCGTTTCCCGCGTCGCACAAGGAGCGCGTGGGCATAGGCGCAGACGGAGCCTTTGCCATTTGTTCCCGCGACATGGATGGCGCGCCAGGGGAAGTCGATGTTTTTGAGGAGGAGGCTGATGCGCTCCAGGCCGGGTTGGATCATGGCCTATGTGTGGACGTTATGACAGCATAGGAAGGGGAGGTTGTGTGTATATGGTCGTCTGAGAAGGGTGTTCTATGGCGTGAGTCTGGCAATAACGTTGTTTTCAACTTCTCAGTTGTCGATGAATTGGGACGATGTCATGGGTGAAAGCAGTGAAGGCGCTAGTCCCGAAGCGGGGTGAAGACTTGGCGCGTTTGCTGGGGAGTCACGTTTGAACCCTGAGACACTTGACACTTGGGGAAACTCGAAACTCCACCAGAAAACGGCCGCCTGTTGCTCCCTCTGCTCAACAACAACACCTTCACCCGACTCTACGCGCAGTTCGACTCTTCTTCGCACCACCATTTTCTTCTAGCTCTGCGCCACCATCCACGATCGCCCACCTTCGCCCCGCCCTCAGTGCGCGCGCTCCGTCTGGGAGTTCCCGCTAGGCTTGCCGCTCGCTTGAGCTTGCGCCCCCCCAGCCGCTGCCCTATCCTCCCCTTCCCGGCCACCCCGTAATCCTCAACCTTCCTTCCTCCGCGTCTCACACCGAAAGCCACTCTCTCTTCTTCGTCGCCCCTCGTTCGCACCTCTCCACTCATTCTTTTTTGTCTTCTCCACCATGGGCGTGCCAATGTACAGGCCGACGCCGTCGGTCGCGGCCGAGAGAGAGCGCGCCCCACAGGACCTCACCGCCCACGCGCGCTCGCCTATCCGCCGACACGCACCCAACTATCGACGCGCTCGGCCGACCAGCTTGCGCTCAGACGCTGCCCGCACCTCGACGCGCACGTCGCACACTGCTGTTTCCTTGAGAGGACTTCGTCCTGCCACCGACGCCGACACCCGCGCATACGCCGGCTCCCGCCACTCCCGCGCTAGGCTCGCTCAACTCTTGCGCGATGCTCGACAATCTGAGCTCCGCGCAGCGCGTCAGGAACGCGATCCGTCCCCCGCAGACAGGAGAGATTCTAATGAGCGCATCGACTCCATGCACGGCGACGGCCCCAGCTTCGACCCCCGGGCTGGAGAACCCAACTGGGCCGTCGCAGAGCTGATTGCGGCTGAGTTCATACAGCAGCACGAGACACCTTCGGACGTGTTGGCGGACTCACAGGAGTCGTCGGTGCGGAATACCCAGGCCTTCCTCGATGAGATGGGGTCTTCGTCGCAGTACACGTCGTCATTCACCTCTGAAGCCGGTACCCGCCGTCGCAGGAGCAGCGGCCCCGACACAGCAGACATGCCTCCCCTGCGCAGAGTGCGCCGACGCCGCAGCATCGTCCATGACGTTCCCAGAGACTCTGCTCACGACTCCGGAGAGGTCGACGGCCTAGGCGACCGTGATCGTAGCATCAGCCCTGTCGACGATCAATGGGGCCCGTTCCTGAGCACAGTCCGCCCTGATCCCGTTGCGCCCAGCGCGGACTCGTCATTTACCTCTGCCGCCGCCTCGGCCTCCTTCACCAACTCGTCGCTCCCAGGCTCGCGCGCCGGCAGCTCCAACTCGAACTCTGCTTCCTCGTCGAGCACCCATTTGACGTGGCCTCACGACGCCCCGGGCGACTGGTTCTGCGCGACCGACGGCGAGTCTGAGTCGGAAGATGAGCTCCTCCTGCGTGCGCGGGCTCGACGTGACCGCCGTACGCGCCCGCATCTCCAGCGGGAAACCAGCTTCAGCGTTCCCGCGGATGAGTCGTATCTCTTCGAAGTCCCCCCTTTGCCGACGTGGAGGGGTGAGACCTATGTGAGGTCGCTGAACTCGCGGCGCAGCAGTCAGGTCGACGCCCGAGATGCACCGGCCGATGACTCTTCTGACGAGTGGGACCCGGAGCTGCGGTACGCGCGAAATGTTCTCCAACGCTTGTCGCGGAGGAACGTTCCCGACGACTTCTGGGCGTCGGTCGGACTGACGCGCTCCATGGTCGCGGATGATGCCGAGCCCCAGCGCAGAGCATCTCTGGACTCTGAAGACACGGCGAGGCCGCCTCGACGTCGTGATGAGGAACCCACAGGGGAACATGCCATCCGCAACATGTCGTGGCCTACTATCAGGGAGATGTTTGAAACGAGGTCCAGGAGTCCTGTAAGCCGGGTTGCCCCTCGTGCGTTACCGAATATGACACATTCGAGAGAACAGATTGAGCAGTTGAGCGAACAGGTGGATCAGCTCGAGCAGGATTTGGCAGATGCGCCGCCCCATCCGACGTCGGTCCAGGCGCTGAGGCATATGAGGCGGTTGAGGGAACAGGTGGGGCATATGAGGGAGGAGGTGGAGTCGATGAGGGGGGAGGATGAGTGGAGGGAATCATGATCCGGATGACGGATGAGTCTGGATGAGGCATCTTCCAATGGGGCTCGTACACAGAGCGAGAGGGAGATGGAGACGCCTCGACCGTCTTCCCATCACTGGAGCTGGGACCCAGAACTACGGCAAAGGTCCTGGTCAGGAATCTTATCATCCTCCACGATGACACCTCGATACAAGAGAGCGATATTCTTATCCATTGGATTTCCAACAAGACCCGATGTTCTCATATCAATACTCAGCAACCGGAAACCATTATTACGAAAGCGTGGAACAACATCTCTACTGTACGACCACACACACGGCACTATTCTTCCGGCATTCCTTTTTTTTCCATTTCTTCCTTTTGTTGAGCGCGTTTTGCCGCAAGCACTTTCATTATTGTTGCTATTCCTGGGCAATGTACGGTCGTTACGGGGATTTTTCTTTTGTGTTTTGGATGGGGTTTTTTGGGGTTAATGGGGGGTTGATGGAGGGTTGATGTATGATGAAATGGGAATGAATGAACATGATGGATATCAGAGAAGTGTGGGGAGTTGGGATGGGATTGGGAAAGGGAAAGGGAAAGGGTTTGGTGGCAATGGCATGCAGGGATTGTGTGGTGCTTAGGCACTAATATGAGTAGAGAGAAATAATCATGAGGTTAGACTGGGTGTGTCTGAAACTCGCAAGTCTGTGGTGTGTACCTCGTGATTTTTTTTGGTGCCACGATGTTGTGCTATGGTGTGCATTGTAATAGCGATGCTTGTGAAGGGTAGACATCCGCTCGTATGCAGGCCAATCTGGAAAGCGTCGTCACTGCTCTGATATCCCTCTGGTCGTCCGGATGAGGATTTTTGGCAAATCCGCTTGCTCTTTCCACTTGGTCTCATTTCGTGGAGTAGTGACCATGTTCGCTCGCGCTTGAACTTCAACATCATGTTACGACCTAAGGCTAGGCTCCACCGGACCAGGGTCGCTCTCAGCTAAGCGAGGGAAGCTACAGAGCAACTTCATGCAGGGTGCTCTCAGTGCTCTCACGCTCTCAGCAGAGCAACGAGAGCAACAGAGCAACTTCATGCAGGGTGCTCTCAGTGCTCTCTTCGTATCTACAGAGCAAGCAGAGCACCTCAAGTATATAGTAGTAGACGATGAGCTCCTACAGCTCATCGTGTTCAACCTCAGTCAAGTACTTCACAGTACACTTGGTTTTCAATACACGATATCCTTTTCAGAAAGTCTACTCTTTACTGTCTTGATATCAGCACCCGTGCAAGGAACCCTGACGCTCATCCCCGAGAACCAACCGAGATCCATACACGGTACTTCCATACCCGCTGGACCTTCACACATCACTAAACATCTCCTAAATAAACATCGACGCTCTCTCATCTCCCTTTGATTGAGTGACCTCTTAGATTACAGAAAAAGCTAGATATAAGCTAGAGCTCTCTAAAAATACGAGCTCCTTAACGCATGTAGAACCTTGAAATGCTCCTTCTCCCCCCTCCTTGCTTTCATAACGTAACTTCTGAGTATAGGAAGGAACGCGGCCGTCGTCTCAACCACAACCATGTATAGAACGCAACTGGCATCACCAAGCCCTACAAAAATAAAACCAACACGCATCTAGCTTGCGTCTGCCCAGTAGAACTGCCAAAAAGGCGCATAAAGAAGAAAAAGTAAAAGGGCCTGGCCGGGATTTGAACCCGGGGCCTGTCACAATCTCGGCTTCAAGCGAAGCCAGGCACAGAGTCCCGAAGCGACAATCATACCACTAGACCACCAGGCCATTCATCAATTGATGAAGATTTTGGAGGCTATTAACACATATGACAGCAACATTTGAGCTGACCGACAGAGCTCGTCGCCATTTCAAAGGTGTTGCTGTGGTTACACATTCCATAACGCGAAATGTAGGCAAAGCAAGTTCGTGAATAACAGTTTCCAGTGTCTCCCTTGTCTTTAGGCGAGACTTATTATTGGCTGCGAGTTGCTTTTGATTTATCTCAAGGGTCGCTTTTGCTTTCGTGAGCACAGAGTCCCTGGCTTCGCTTGAAGCCGAGATTGTGACAGGTCCCGCCGTTGGACTCTAATGTACAGACAAAGCCATAGAGTCCGATGTACACTATAGAGTGGGCAGAGGGAACGTCCAGCGTTCGGCGTTGCTCTCCAACATCAGCATCGCGCACGCGAACACGCTGCGTGTTTGACACTTTGATACATGACTATGGATAGCCTGAGCCCCTCGGGCATGTAGGGTAGTTGTAAATTGACCTGAGGCTTCCAGTCGGCTCTTCAGTAATGACTATGAATCCTTACATCTCTCGAGCCTCGATCTCTCGGCATGCCTTCTCCAACATGAGCCTTGGCCGTTTACACAACGAACTTCCACTGCACATCTTCCCAGCCTTTCCTCCGCCGCAAAACAACGTGACCACCCTGTCCACCCAGCGCCGGCTTCGAAATAGCCTCCCCAAGTCTGATTATATCCGGCCGCACATTTTCCTTCTTGAGGCCCTCAATCTCATACCCGAGCAACAACGCGGTCATGAAACCCAGATGCTCGGCAAACGCAAAGTGGCGACCGGGACACATGTGCTTTCCAGCTCCAAACGGCATATAAGCGCCTCTCTTCTCCGCTTCATTCGCCTGGGACATAAAGCGACGAGCATTGAACTCATCAGCATCGTCGCCCCAGACAGATATCATGCGATGGAGCACAGTAGCCGGAAGCATGATGACACGGCCTTTCTTGAACAGATACTCGTTCCCGGTATCGGGGTCTCGGATCATGGTGTCGCGGATTACGGAGCGGGAGGAGATCGGGTGACTGTTCAGACGAATGGCTTCCTTCCAACAGCTGACAAGCAACGGGCATTTCTCGTCGATCTGGCCAATATGTATCTCCACGACGCCTTTGCGATTCTCCGAGTGGTCACCAAGCATATCGAGAGCTTGAGCACGAAGTTCGTCGACAAGCAAGGGGCGTAGGAAGATGGTCACCAGAACCCAGAAGCAACTCGGAATAGTGTTGTTGGTTGCCCCTGCCATGGTCCCAATTTCCAACTTCGCAAATTCCTCGGGCTCGATCCCTTGTTTTCGGAGCAGAGATGCACGGCATTTGATGTACTCTGATGGCTCCTTTTCTTGATCGTGGCCAGCTCTGTACCATTTGCCGAGGGCTGACTGCAGTAATGCGCGGGCTTTGTAGGCTTGTCGATTGATGATAGAGGGGAGAATGCCCATTATGAAACCTTGCATGTCGCCTTCGAAAGTCCTGGACATGTCAATGCCGAATGGTTGTGGGAGGATTGAGCGGTACTGGCCATTGCGCATCGATAAGATCCGAGTCATTATATGGACTCCTGGGTCCAAAGAGGACCTTTGAAGTTGCGGTACCAAAAAGCTCACGAACCCAGAGATAAAGATTTGATATGTCTTGCTCATCATTGCCATGAATACAGTTCAGGCGACTAGCAATGATCTCAAGGGCTGCAGCCTGCCTGTAATCATGTCAACAGGCACATCATACGTCAGGACTGCTTCACGAACATGGCTTTCAAGGGCTCACCCGTCAAAGCCGCCGATTGCGCTGACAAGATCCGCTCCGTAATATCCTGATGTACACCGTCTTGTCCCATGATGGCGTTGACAACATGGTTTTCCAAGCCGAACATTTTTGTAAGGGCTATCTTATGTCCCGTGGTAAAATTCCTGTTGCGCAAGATGCCGCGTTGTAGCTCGGGGGAAAAGGCTGCGTACGCTTTGCCTCCTGGATACGGAAGGGTAGCAACATTGAGCTGCGGGTGCTTGTCACTGCCAAAGGTTAGAGAATGGCCATCGCATCGTATGACTGACATACTGAATCATCTTGAAATACATCGTGCGGTATCTCAATAGGCCCAGCAGATGACCGATTACAGGGAGCCTAGGCTTGATGGTAGGAGGCTCCCGAGCATCGACATTGCCGTATGTCGCCTTGTAGAGCAATAGGCTGATCGCGATAACAAACCCAGTTGAACAGTAGAGGACGGGCGAAACAGTTACATGTTGATGCAGGACAGAGAAGGCTCTTTTCGTAGCCGATTCGACAAGCTCGGCCATTTTATCGAATACGTCGGTACCGAAGTAGCTGGAATTGACACTTGCCTCAACAACTGGGCCAACATTGTACTTTTGACTGTCGACTGGTTCAACTCAAAGATGGTGTTGGCTGGCAAGGGTTAGGTGCGCCACTCTTTGTCCCCTTACTATTGTTCGAGGCCCGCCGTCCTGATTGGAAGCCATAATAGGTGAAAACAAAACAAGGAGATATTCTCCGTTAGGTTCCTCCGGGTTTCAGTTGATTTGCCTCAACCTCATTATTGTGATCCATGGCTGGTGGTCCTGTTCATTACTGTTACCCGATGGCGCGAGGCCATCGATCTTTGTGTGCCATGTGCTCTGGCCAATGGTAGGATCGCGCGTCAGCTCACAATGGTGAGATTGGAACATGAGGATAACTGGTGTTATTGTGACGGATTCGAATCGTGTTGATCACATCTGGGCCCAAGGTTATGGTCGGACTTGTGTCGCAGGTGGACGTGACACAAAATGATACAGGAAGTCGCAGGCGCTTACCTCAGCATTTATGGAATCAGCACCATCAGGTGCACATGTATGCGTTGATGTCAACACCATCAATGCCCCAATATTTATCGATGTCTCGATGCTCAAGCTCGACACACAACTCTGATAATGAAGCGATCAATAGCAGAAAGTGTGCAGCCAGATCTACGTTTGGAAAATGCGAACAGCGATGACCCTGCGAACCACGACTGCTTTTCGATGCCTTCACACCTTTCCCCATGATCAGTACAGTATAGAATTACAGCTTCGACTTCTGCGCATTCTTGATCATAGCTTCAGCAACCAGCCGTCGTTGAATCTTGCCCGTAGCTGTCTTCGGCATGACATCCGTGAAAAACACCTATGACTCTCATCAGTAAAGAACGCGCTATTACCGAGATTATGACTCACTTTCTTTGGAAGCTTGAACTTGGCCACTTTCTCCGACATCCACTTCTTAAGCTCCTCACCGTCCAACTTCTTCCCCTCCTTGACAACAACCGCAACGCCAATGTCCTGACCATAATGCTCGTCCTCCATAGCGAAGCTAACGGCCTCAGAAACGGACGGATGGTGAGCGATAACATTGTCCAATTCAATTGGACTGATTTTCTCGCCGCCCTTGTTGATGAGCTCTTTGATGCGGCCAGTGATGATGATATAGCCATCGTCGTCCTTCTTTCCCTGATCCCCGGTTCTGAAGAAGCCGTCTTTGGTGAAAGAGGAGGCGTTGGCGGAGGGGTTATTGAGGTATCCTTTCGTTACATTCTCGCCGCGAATGCAGATCTCAGCTTCTTTGCCGTTGGGCACTTCATTGCCGCTTTGGTCGAGAATCTTGACTTCTACACCCTGTCCGATGCCTACACTGCCCGGGTGCCGTTTGCCGGGGGGTAGAGGATTGCTGGTCATTTGGTGAGCGGCTTCAGTCATAGCGTAGGCTTCCAGAACGGGGGCATTGAAGGTTTTCTCGAGCTCATGAAAGACCTTCGGGGACAAGGGAGAAGAGCAGGAGCGGATGAAGCGGATTTGAGGAATAGGGGAGGGAAGGGGAGACTTCAGAAGAATCTGGTGTATCGTTGGCACGGCTGTGTACCAGTTTGCTCCGTGTTGGGTGAAGTCCCGCCAGAACTCGGAAGCGGAGAACTTCAGAGGGACGACGACGGAGCCGCCTGACGCCAGAGGTGCTAGGAAGCCGGCCAGCAGGCCGTGGACGTGGAAGAGCGGCATGACGAGCATGGTGCGATCAGCTCGCGTCAACTCGTACGTTGCTTGGATGTTCTTCATGGTGCGCAGGAGATTCCGATGGGTGAGAGGGACTGCCTTTGGTCGTCCTGTGGTACCGCTAGTGTGAAGGACTAGGGCCACATCGTCCGGCTGAGCAACCTCGACAGCCGCATTTGCGTTGTCAGCCAGTTTCCCCTTCTCCTTCACATCCAAGATAACCTCGTCGCCCTCAAAGTAACACTCGACGATGGCCGCCTTGTATTTCCTCGCTGCGCGAACCGCCGCTGCATCCTGTGCGTATGCACCCTTGGGTACGAGGGCAACGGCTGAGCTCAGGTCGTCGATGTAGAACTCAAACTCGGACTGCTTGTACGCAGGGTTCAACGGAGCAGCAATGGCTCTTTGCCAGGCCGCTGCGAGGAACGAAACGATGAATTCGTAGGAGTTGGGGAGCGCAATGGAGACAGCTGATTCCGGTCTGATACCGAGCTTCGCCAACTTTTGCTGGAACAGCCGCACGTCAGCTGTCAGGCGGCGGTAAGACACCTCGAGAGGAGGCGACGACGGGACAATGACAGCAGTGGACTGTGAGTCCTTCGAGAAGGCGTTTGCGAGTGTTGTAGGAGACATGGCGGTAGCTAGTGAAGTGATGCAATATACAAGCTCCACAAGTCAGCCTAATTGGTGTTTGTACTTCGTTCTTACTCACAGCTAAGATGCAACTATCATATACAGCAGTAACGATGCACAAAAGGCCAGCTTTGGTGCCCAAACGATGAATCACTCTTCGATGCCGAGTGACGTTGTCCCCGAGGTACTCAAGCTCCGTGCCAAGCCGGAGATAAGCTGCAGCCACGTGCCTGCGCTAAATGGCACCTTTCACTTCGACATCAATTGATGTCGAATCGACAGCTTCTTACCTACACTTTTTCCGCCAACACGAGTTGCGCAAGCGCG